TATACGTAAGATAGTAAATAATTACGTACATTCAGTTTAATACCACTGTGAGGTACTAGGTCCAATTATTTAGTTAAGGAGCAGTATAGTCGCTAAACTTAAAAAAATGTGTAAAAGCATTATTCGTTTTTTAATGTTAAATTACAAATGTGAAGTATTGTGGTATAATGTAATCATGAAATAAAGTAATATTTAAAGTGCCAGATCAATAGACATTAGAATATTATAGGTAAAATATTTCATCTAGTCAAACCAAGCTTTTTCAAAATAGATGTACAAAATGCTGTTGACACTGTAAAAAAGGGTTGCCCTGTTCTAACAGCTCGTAAAAAATACAGAGTTCCTTACAGCACCTTACGTTCAAGAGTATAGGGATGTCATAAGTTTCAAACTAATAATTTATAATTCCTTATTTTATTACGCTATTCATATTATATAAAAATTTATCATATTTTCTTATTAAAGTTTGAAGCATGAAAGTATCCAAATAATTTTTATTTTGCCCTATTAAAGAGGTATGTAATATAAATACTGATCGATCGTATTAATAAAAATAATTAGAAAAGTCAACAAAATAAGTACTTAAATGCCTTTAAGACACATGTAAGTATACTTATAATTTAAAGCACTTTTTTAAGCTCTCTGTTACATCTAGCGACTACTGGGTCTATCTATTATCACAAACTGTGATGCTACAAGCGGGTACTGGGCCCCACATTTTTTATTTTCTTGTCTTTTTTCAAAGAATTAAGAAATATTGATTTTTATCCATACGACATGGTTTTAAACAAATTTTCTCTTACGCTAGCGGCTACTGGGTCAAATACCTTACTGAAAGCAAAGTTCACTCCTGGACTATTATGGCTGAGATAGATAAATAAATATTTATAATTTTTGTTAATACTTTTTGATATACTGTACTTAACATCTGTTGAGTTGTCATTTTACTTGTTTAGGTAGAAATAAGACTTTTTAATCTTAGATAAAAGTTCTTTTATGTGTGTAAGCAATAAAACTACCAGTATAAAAAACTGATTATGTAAAAATGAGAAATAAAACATGCTAAAAACTTCAACATAACTTAAAAATGGTAACGGTTACACAAATAAGGCACAGCATAATCTTTTTTTTTAAATTCTGAGCAAGAACCATCCTGATAATGTATTACACTTAACAAAACTATCTTACACATAAAAAATACGCTGAATTGACAAAACTAATAACATTTGTAAAATAGTTATAACTAGAGAACTATTTATATTGTTTAATCTTACCCTTTTTTATTCTTATCCAGTAAGTTTGGTATCATTAGACGTACGTAAACACTTGTACATATTACAAGTAATAAGATAACTAATAAACTTTGAAAGTTGAATAAGGCAAACTGTAAATAAAATAAAATCGTATGACTAAAATTACAAAAAATACATTTGACTATTTTAGTTGTTGTTATTTCCATAAAAATTTCGACGAAGAAAAATATTTATATAATAATTGAGGTGTAGGTGTAAAAGTTTACTTTAAGTCCCAGGACTTTTATCAACTTTTAGTGTTTCATGTATTGTACGTTATGTTACAATAGTAGAATTTTTTAATTCTTTAGTAAATTTTTACAAATTGACTTTTAAATGAAATGTAAAACAAATCTTTATAAATTATACAGCAGTATAAATTGGTCGAAAAGGGTTAATGTTTTGTTATAAAAATTATAATTCAGAAAGATGCAAGAATTATTAACTTATTTTACAAACTAAATTTTAAATGTCCAACTTTAACAAATATACGAGTATTTTTAATTCTGGAAAAAGTATACTTGTACAGTTGAATGTACCCATCAACCCTCATATTTTTTATAGTCTCTCTTCAGTCCCTTTTTAGCCTCCTCTCATAATAGTAGTACGAATATTAATAATCGATTATAACATATACGAGATTATATGATAAAAATACCAAACAACACAGAGAAATACTATTATATCAGTGAACACCTTTTACTAATTTTAAAAATTTATATTTGTGCGCTACATTTGTGCCAATTTTATAAAAATTTACTTGGTTGGTTAGTGGCAGTGTTGCGATACGGCCAAGACTTCTCTTGGGTGCTCTCAGTTAGTAGTGTAAGCGTAGAAGAACCGTGCTTTCTCTCTCTCTCATCAGACAGCTAGGAATTGAGAAGCCCCCTACCCAGCCTTAAGCTTCACGCACTTCTCACAACTGAAATACTACTTTTGACTCTTACTCCCCATAACTGTCGATGGTCGAGTGGGTTCGGTATTTTGCTACCACACGACTCGTAGTCGGATACTCTTCGATTCCTGCCCATCTACGGGTCTTTTTTGACTTGTCCCTGTACAAAAGGCCATACTGAAAAATTATAAAAAATTCAGAATAAATCTCTCAGAATAGCAATGGGATGTAGAGATAGCACTCTAATCAACGTGATATTAGCTAAGACAAAAACCATTTAACTCTCCTTGAGGACTGAAAATCTGGCTTATGGATTTATTTTAAAAGCGTTATCGATTAAGAGCAATCCTATAATCAAACACATTAGTAATCTTAAAAGGACTTCCAAAAATTTTAGTTTTAAATACAGCTCTGACACCTCTCTACTGATTAACTACTTTAACAATATATGTAGACACAATCTCAACATCAAATCTCACCCTATCCTTTTCCAGTACATGAATCCCTATTCGACTAGTTTTTTTTCGAATTTAGCTATACTTAACGACAGGCCACAAACTGCTTAGTTCTCCATCTAATGTGGCTTTTAAAGACTCGTTCAACAAAAATAATACGCATTACTACACAGACATATTCACAGATGGTTCAATAATTAAAGTAGGCGACCAAAATAAGTTGGCTTTGCTAGTTATAGCCTAGATAAACACTTTAACTTTTCATATTAGTTACCTAACATGGCATCCATGTTTACAGCAGAATGCACAGCCATTTATTAGACCCTTAGTCGTATTAGGAAAAATGCCAAGTCAGACTTCACAATTTTCTCTAATTCATTGGGCGTTCTTTCAGCCCTCCAATGTAGCTTCTCAGCTCTCATCTTAGATACCAAAAATCTATAAATAAAATGTTCCCTAGAAAGAAAAAACATATAACTTATTTGGGTGCCATTCCATGTGGGAATTCAAAGCTACGAGGAAAATGATAAAAAGGCCAGAGGAGCAGCTGAGAGCGGACGCACTCTTATTTTACCTACCCTTACTCCAACGCTGACATCTCATTTAAATCAGAAATCAAAAAGAAAAACGAGTCTATAACTCTACAAGAATATGAAGTCAAGGGCAAGGAATCTAAATGTTTCTAAACGTTCTTTCAAAAAACTAACAAACCCTGGTTCGCTGGTCTTAATTCCAGCATCTCAAAAAAAACGTTGGTCAGTATAAACAGAATAATGTCCAATCATAAAATTCCAATCTAAAAGTGGGTCTGTTTAGACACAACATAGTTACAAGCGAAGAATGAGAATGAGAACAAAGTCCAAGAACTGTTAACCCCATATTCTGGCAATGTGATTTATTCAAAGACCAAAGAGTCACCTTTTTGTCAATACTATTTTTTTTATTTTATACATTAAAACTAATATTGGAATAAAGTGATATTTAGTTAACATACATTATATTTACGTATATATGTATAATGTACATATTTACGGATTATGGTACATATACTTAAGAAAAAAAAAATATTAATAATAATAATAACAATAATATAATGTATTCTAGTCATAACGTTTAACCAAAACTATTTCCATACTATAGCGATAAAATAAATAATTAGTAAATGTAATTTTACAAGATAATGTGATCTATTTTTACAGATAACAATTTAACGATGTCAATACAATATTTAGTGGAAAGAAAATAAAACATTTTGTGATAATAGTTACTAAGACAAATGTCTTGAATTCAATGTCAATAAGAAATAAGTGGGAGCGGCGTTGGCTCAGTGGTGAGCGTGCTCGTTACTGATACAACGTAGTTCTAGGGGTCGTGGGTTCAATTCCCGGTGAATGCAGATTTTTTCAAAAACTGTTTTCATCGAGAAAAGTTCCTATGTAACCTCGGCTGTTTCGGGGCGGATTTTTTCGTGAAATGTTCTTTCAAAGTAATTCCAGGGTTTATTCCTTGCCCCACAGGTCTTCGGGCCTAGGTGAATGCAAAACAGTGTTAGGGCTATAGGTAGGGATTAGCGGATCCGATGCCAGGCGTCGGGGAGGGATCGCCGGCCTTACCGGCGAGGAATGGTCCCTGAAACATGGGGCTTCTCCGGGGATGCTAATTAGCCTGGATCTAATGCTTCGGCAGAGAGCACCGACTTGATCGGCGAGGAGTGGACGTCCTGAAATATGGAGTCCTCTCTGGGAAAAGCCTACACAGTGGCGAGTGTACCTGATGCACCAATGGTGCAGAGAGTGTCAGCTTAACTGGCAAGGTGTTCCACAGGAGATACTCACACTGTGTCCATGGTATAATAAGTACGATATCGGTTAAGAGATTGGTAAATGAGTGCGGCAATACATTGCCATACACAGATGGTTAATGGGTTAGATTCAGGTATGATATCGGTAAAAAGGGTTGGAAAAAGGTGTGGCAATAAACCTTCACAATTACGTATATTCTCCAATAGCTGTATGTTCTCTCTAAACCAATAAAAACTTACTAGTACTACTATGTATGTATGTAATATATTGAATACAATACACATAGATGTGTGATTAGTGTTATTATATTTTTGTGTGGAATTCTTAAATCTTGATTCATACAACTTGATAAAAGTAATTCTATTAGGTATTATCACGCGTAAAAATATTTATAGCTTTTTGTTAAGAGTAATTAAGTTTAATTGGTTTGTTTACATTATGTACAAAAAGTTTTCAACTGCAATTACATAAATTTCACTATTTTATTACTTTAAATTGTATGATTATTAACTAAATAACATTTTAAGAAAATTGAATGGAATATAAATCAACAGTTAAAAAAATTATCGTAAGTTTCACTAATTGTTTACTTGTACGATAACATATATAATTCGTTAACTGAGTATAGTGCAGACGTAATCCGGCTGTGGCTTGGCACTAATCAAGCCAATTCCGGCTACGCCAGAGCCAAGTCGTACCTTGACCAGCGCTCCGTTTCAGAGCTCAGCTAGGGCCAATGTTGGCTTCAGCACAGATAAGTCAAGGCTTGACCCTTCACTGAATTTAATTTCAAGTCAGGAGTGCGGCAAATGTAACTATACGAATGTAAGATGTATGGGTGATTCTGCTGTAACTTGCTCAGATCGTGTCCGGTACTCATACTCACGCGCTGGAATGAGATCCAAAACTTTAAAAACGTCCAATTGTGTTAAATGTTGTCGACTTTACTTGGCATATTATCTTATACTCATATATTGGTCCCTTCAATGAGTTAATCCATCATTTAGAGTCAAATTTTCCATTCCGACCTATGTACTTAACTCGATTTCACTCATGAAAGCTTTCACCAGTAAACAATAAGGCTTATATGCTACTTAGGCGTGTAAGCATTATGTACTCTAGCTATTGGTAATAAGATTTGTACCTTAGTCCCATCAAAATCTACAAAGACGAGTGAGTTTTCACTGCATACATTTTGACCGCATATTTGCACCATAATAGCTGTTTTAACAAAAATCAGTTCAAAATAGTAACTTTTTGGATTGGAAATGCTAACCCATGGTCACTTTTTAAAGTAGAGGACTAAAATGAATAAATTCTTACGATAGTAGTACCTGAAGTTGTTACCTCTCGAATAGCGAAACTGTTTTTTTGCATACAAACATTTGATTCCGTTCCGACCCCCATGGAATAACTACTCGGTGTGCGTGTGCAGGTACGCAAACTACAGTTTCTTATTGCATTTGAGTCTAGTAAATAAATTATGAGTGGAAAAGTCATTGTAATACGTCTATGAGTCGCACAAGCACTACAAACTTTGAAAATTTCATTCCAAACTTCTCCATTCCGACCGTACCTCACTTCAAAGTGCCGTTTTTTTTTGGATAGCATACTTTTAAGATTAAGTTTGAAGGTGCCTGAGGAGAAAAATAGTACACCAAGATATGTATACTCTTTCACTTTTAGAAGGTGAGCGTTGCTGAATTTTACGGAAAGTGTTAGTTTTGTTCTGAAACTTTTTTTTAAGTCCATGATTGCTGTTTTTTTAGTGTTTACTACTGATTTCTTAACTTGGGTGTATTTAGACAGTGTGATAAGTTTTGATTGGAGATCTACTGGGTTGTTGGCCAGAAGAGTGAGGTAATCTACAAAGAGGAGTATATCTACGCAATTTGAGATATTGATATGCTTTTCGCTGATAAAAAAACTTATCAATATCA